CGAGGAGAAAAGAGAACATGTGGACTGGTTAGGAGAGGGGGGCGGCTGGGGAGGGTGATGCAGAAAGGTCAGAGAACGTGGGAAACCAGGTCAGGGCGAGGTAGGAGAGGCCGCAGGGGCCATAAACAGTGGTGGAAGGGGACTGGGCTCGGGGCGGGGAATACACAGCACGGCGCACAGATGATATGTCACGGAACCGTGCACCTGAAACTTCTGTCACTTTATTAACCAATGGCACCCTGATAAATTCAGTGACAAATTTTTAAAAATTCAGAATAAAAAAAAGTAACTGGCTCTCCACAGGCTGGAGAGGTGGGCGGTGGATGGATGGGCGGGTGAGACTGGGCTTGGGCCTGGACTGGCAGGGCAGTCCCCGTCCCGTCTCCATGGAGACAGCAGCCACACTTGCCTCTCTTCCTCCCACCTGCCCTGGCGGCAGCGTTTCTTAAACCGGGCTGCTGTGATGAGTCAGCCCACCAGCGCCCTGCCAGGAGCAAGTGGTCGGAACCTAGTCCAGGTGAGGGAGAGGCATCTGGGCTGGTTCCCTGCCGATTCCACGCTGGCTGAGTGGTGAGGGGTCCCCTTGGGGGCTCAGAGAGGAGGTTCTTCTGGCTCAGAGTGGACACATGGGGGATAGTGGCCCTTGACTGGCCCTTTGGCTCCTGTCTCCTCCAGGGGCTCCTCAAGCCAGAGGGCTGCTGTCCTCCTCAAGGAAGCCTGTCGCTGTTCGGCAGGGCGGCCTCCTTCCCTCTCCCTCCTCAGCACCGCTGGGGGCTCCGCGTTGGGGTGTGTGAGTGTGTGTGTGTGTGTGTGTGTGTGCGCACACATATTGGGGCAGGAGGAGGAGAAGTATTAGAAGCAGGCCAGATGGATAGACGGACTGAGCCTTTAGACAGAACCAAGTTCCCGAGGAAGCTTTCTCAAGACGTGAAGTCTAACTAGTGACGACTGGCTGCACAACCTTGGTCCCGGAATCCCCAGCAGAAAGGGCGTTGGCATTGGGAAGAGGAGACCAGGGCTGTGTCACGGGCAGCTGTCGGACCCTGGGTACGTTCCTTAGTTTCTCGGAGCCTCATCTTCCTTTTGCATGAAATCAGAATTAAGACACTGCCCCGTCTGTTTTGTAGAAGAGAGGGATTTGAATTTCGGCTCTTCTCCTTACCAGCTGGATGACTGGGTAGGAGCCTTCGCTTCACGAGCTTTGATTTCCTCCTCCTCAAACAGGGAGTTGCTAACGTTCTTCGCAGGACTTTTGTGAGGATTATGAGATACTACGTGGAGGATGTGTGGCTCCGTGTCTGACACATAGTCAGTCTTCAGTAAGTGTCGGCAGTTGTTTTCATAGCCTTGTCACGAGGGCCAGAGGAGATTCTGTGCTCGAAAGCCCTTTGACCACCCCCAGCCAGGGCCGAGTGTGTGCGTGAGCGCGCCTGCCTGTGGGCGCACACTGGGGCGAGCACGTGTGCGCAGCGGGGCGTGAAGGGCCTCTCCCACTTTTGTTGTTTTAGGGCAAGGTCAGATTATCCCGGGGCAGGGCCATGTTCCTCCCCAAACAACCTTGTTTCCAAAACCCACGGCTGCCACGGAGCCCTGAGTGGCCAGGTCAGCCCCAGCTTTGTGAAGAGGTGCCAGTGGGCGGCATGGGGACGGAGGCCCCGGCCTTGAGGCAGTGGGGTTCGCTCAGTGACCTCCTCTTTCCCCACCCCTGCCCCCTCGCTCCAGCCTGGCTACACTTGGAGGCCCCAGAGGCTGAGGCCCTGCCGGGCAGGTCATGGGGCAGGGAGGCGCTGAGCCGGGCGGCGCGGGGATGAGATCATCCCACGGGCTGGTGAGGACACCTGTGCCCGTCCTGGCCACACACGCAGTGATGTAAGCAGGGGCTTTAGCGCGAGGTGGAAACATGGGGTTCGCTTTACAGACAGGGCTGCCCAGAGCTTGTCCCTGGCTGTCCCGGCTGCGGCCTTGACTCTCTCCCTCCCTGCTTCTGTACACAGTCCCCCCCGGGTGCCCTTCATTCTCCCCTACCACGCACCGCCGCCGTGATCCCTGGTCAGGCATGCCCTCTGTCACCTCTGCTTTGTTCGTGCGCCCCTCTCGTCCCTTCCTTGTGCTCCCGCTCATCCAGCAGGTTTCGTCCAGTCCCCACTGCGTGCCAGGCACTGTCTTAGGGGGCACAGTCCCTGCCCACGTCAGTCGGGGTGGGGGAGGCAGGTGAGGACGTGTCCTCTGCCGTGTGGGAAGGGGCAGTGCAGGCGCCGAACCCCCACTCTCTGGCCCACCCTTCAGGGCCTGCTCAGAGGCCCCTCCTGCCATGAAGCCTTCCCTGACTCCCCAGCCAGGGGGGCTTGCTCCCGTCCCTGTGCCCCGAGCACTTGGTGTATTGCTTCATTCATTCATCTATAAATACTCAATGAGCGTGATTCCATACCAGACACTATTCTGGGGGCTGACGACACAGTAGGGAAGCGCGCAGAGAAGTCATGCCGCTGGTATCTCCACGGGCAGCTGGCGGGGACGGGCACAGACTGACAAACCCGCGGTGTATAACATGTCAGGTAGCCGTGCGTTCTGTGAAAATAAACACGGAGTGAGGATTAAGAAGTGCAGGGAGGGAAGGCTTCTCGGAGGAGGTGATGCGAGGACAGACAGGGAGCTGCAGTGTGATGGGCGCGGGGTGCGCGGGAGCCGAGCCCGCAGGGCCGCCTGGCTGGGGTGCAGCGAGCAAGGCAGAGAGTGGCGGGAGGTGGGGCCAGCGTGCTAACGGGTCCCCCAGACCCGAAGGCCTTGATGAAATGGGGGCTATCGAGGGGTTTGGAGCAGAGGAGCCCCTTAAAAAGCCTCCGTCTGGCTGCTGTGCTGGGAATGGGCTCCCAGGATGGGAGGAGCGAGACCCAAGAGGAGGTTGTGGTGGAAAGGCAGACTCGTGGGAGCTGATGGGCATAGACCAGACTGGCGGTGGGCATGGCAAGAAGTGACCCATCCTGGATGGGCATGGATATGTTCCGCATATCCGCATATCCGCATCTGGATATATTCCGCAGGGAGGGCCCTTGGGGTCGGCCGATGGGGGGGGGGCATGAGAAAAGGAAGGGACAAGGGGTCACCTCTTAAAGGAGGAGGATGGCGTTGCTGTTTCCCGAGCTGGGGGAGAGAGAACAAGGAGCCCAGTTCCTGCCACGTGGACTGTGGTACCTGTCAGACCTCCAAGCGGATGTCAAGTCCACAGTCAGAAACCAGAACCGGGTGTTCGGGGAGAGGGCAGACTGCAGATGGGAACACAGGGGTCAGGAGCACACGGATGGATAAAGGCCACAGGGTGGGATGGCGTGCCCTCGGTGGTACAGAGGGAGAAAGGAAAAGGTTCCAGGGCCCGAGCCCCGGGGCTCCCTCCTCTTATCTGCAGGCCGAGGTGGTGGGCGTGAAAGGGATCAGGAGCATCGGCCAGGGCAGCAGAACTAGCCCCCAGAAGGAGTGGGAGCAAGTGGGGAGCAGGTTTCAGGAAGGGCCGGGGGAGCAGAGTCAATTTGATAGATCAGGGCCAGGGGAGGGAGGACCTAAGAATCAGCCACCACTGGAGGCACAGGTGCCCCAGACAGGAGCCGTTCTGGGGCCGTGGTGGGCGCAAAACCCTGCTTGGAGGAGAGGAACTAAGGCGAAGGAGTACAGACAAGTCTTTCTGAGTTTACCCTCTGAGAGAGAGAACAGAGAAATGGGCGCAGGCGCTAGCAGGGGATTGGGGCCGAATGCAGTTCCCTTTAGAGAAGCGGGTGGTGCGGCAGGCCTGTGTGCAGAAGGCAATGGTGTGGCCGAGGGGAAGCTGGCCGATGCAGGACAGAGCAGGGACAGCTGCTGGAGGGGCGTCCGGATGAGGCAGGGGGCGGTGTGGTCCAGGGTAGGGGCCTCAGGGAGGCATCGGGCTGGTTGTCCACAGACAATAGGACAGGGGAGCAGGTGTGCGCAGAGGCAGGTACGGCCCTCCCTGGTGTGGGGACCCGTCTTACCTTTTTTTTTGTTGAGCAATTGCTCGGCCGAGAGCGGCTGACCTGGCCTTCTCGCTCAGCAGTCAGCACACACTGAATGTATATAACTGAGGGGACGGATGTTGGGAGCCTCGGATTCCTGATATACGTTGCAAATCGGTTGGAGTTAGCTGAATTCATCGGTAAGGCCAAACAGGCTTTTCATGGAACGGACAGGCGTGCGGCCGTGCCCAGGCAGGGAACGGAGCCAGGGTTCGGAAGGGCGCTGGGCTGGCTCCGGCTCCGCGTTCCTTTTCTACCCCAAACGCCGACTGTATTTTTTCCATCTTCCCACAGACCAGCTTTGTCTGCCCCTCGGTCCATGTGGCAGAATGCGGCTGTGCCCCCTCCGGAGTTACATTTACAGACACGAGGGAGTCCTAATTCCCAATTCCTAAATCAACGATTTGGATTAGCTGACCGGCGTCTGTTACTGGACCAGTCAGTTTTGTGGCCAGAGAGGCAGGAACCACGTGGCTCTAACCCTCAGTATCTCTCCTTGTGGGTCGTGCTCAAAGTCCCCCGAGGGGAGGGCCTGGGGCAATACTTCCGTCAGCCTCCCGGCAGTGAGTGGGTGGGTGGGTGAGTGGGTATTTTTGCTGTGCCGCCAAATACTAGCTCAGGTTCCCAGAATGAAAGGAGGAGGGCTCTTGCCGGCGGTGTTGGTTTTGGGGGACACCGCTGCAGCTAGAGCCGTCAGCACAGTTGAGGATATAGAACAGGCCTGCCGAAGAAAGGAAGCTTATTGCTGCTACCAGCCGCGGCTTTCTAGAAACTCCCGGCTTCTCTTCTGACCGGGAGGCTGGGAAGTTTCTACTCCACATTTGCCTCCCAGCTGCTGAGGGGGAGCAGTTTTCATCTGAGTCTCTTCACGGCCCTGCTCTCTGGGGGCAGGTGGTCTTCAGGGAACCACGGCATCCTGTTCTCCCCACTCTTTCAGAACTGCTCTCCCTGCAACCCAGTCTCCTGCTTCCTCCTTAGGATACCCAGAGCCGGAGGTGACCTGGTACAAGGATGACACGGAACTGGACCGCTACTGTGGCTTGCCAAAATATGAGATCACTCATCAGGGCAACCGCCACACACTGCAGCTCTACAGGTACCGGAGGCGGGGCCGCCCTGCTCTGCCTGCCCTCCCGGGTTCCTCGGCCCGGGCCTGCCCTCAGAAATGGGGTCGTCTGCGTGACGGTGCCCAGGCAGACCCTAGGGGTGGAGGGTGCGGTTCTGCTGCTGAGTGCAACCCCCTGGTGGTGGACCGTGTCCGCCTGCCCGTGACTGGGACCTCCCGAGGCCAGGGTGGGGGAATCTGTGACAGCCAGAGAGCCGAGTGCAGCCGCGGGAGGTCCGGACCCACAGAGGCATTTTCCGTGAGGTCAGCTGCCAAAAAAAGCTCCTGTGTCATCCTCCCCGAGGGGCCGTGTGGGTCACCTGCTTCTGAAGGGAGCTCTCTTGTGCCCAAGTCTAATCCCCCCTGGAACAGCAAGATCTGGGCCAGCTCCCACCCCCTTGCTGGCCTCAGTTTCCCCAAGTGTAATGATGGAGAGCGAGGGGTGCGGTACTGTCTGAGCAGGGTGTGGCCCTCAGGGCGGGGCCTGGTGGGACCTGTCAGGACCCCGGACAGCTCGCTCAACGCCCACAGGCTCTGGCTGCGGGGCGTGGGGGAAGGGTTGGCATCCAGTATCTCCTGCCTCCAGGTGTCAAGAAGAAGATGCTGCCATCTACCAGGCCTCTGCCCGGAACACCAAGGGCATCGTGTCCTGCTCGGGGGTCCTAGAGGTGGGCACCATGACCGAGTACAAGATCCACCAGCGCTGGTTCGCCAGGCTGAAGCGCAAGGCGGCGGCCAAATTGCGCGAGATCGAGCAGAGCTGGAAACAAGGGAAGGAGGCGGCGGGAGAGGCCGACACTCTGCGCAAGCTCAGTCCCGACCGCTTCCAGCGAAAGCGGCGGCTGAGCGGGGCCGGGGGGCCGGTCCCCTCGGCCCCCACCAGGGAGGCTGAGGGCAGGGCCTCAGCAGCTTGGCAGGAGAGGGAGACCGAGCCTGGTCAGCACCCAGGTCTGGGCCTGATGGACAGTTTTGCCCCCGGAGAGGTGACCGCCAATGGGGATGCTGCCCCTGAGAATGGGGAGGACAGGGGTCATGGCCTTTTGACCTACATCTGTGAGGCCATGGAGCTGGGGCCTCAGAGAGCCCCCCAGAAGGAGTCTGGAGCCAAGAAGAAAAAGAAAGCGGAGGAACCTAGGCCTGGCCTGCAGAAGCCGGAGTTAGAGCAGGCGGCCCGAGGCCACCTCTCTGAAAACTGTGTCCCCGGTCCAGACAAGCCTGACCCCCGAGGGACGGAGGGGCCCGTGGACGCGGAGCGAATCCAGACCTGGCCCAGAGACCGGGTGCCTGGGCCTTCGGGGGCAGACAGCGCCAAGGAGCCGGGGTCCACCGTGGGCTCTGCAGACCAGGCCCAGAAGGCCCCGGCCCTCGGCCCAGGCCCAGACCGGGAAGTGTTCTTCTCCCTGAAGGACATGTATCTGGAGAGCACCGGAGCAGCCAGGCCTCAGGGGGGGGACGGCCACCAAGCACAGGGCGGCAGCAGGGCACCCGGGGCGACGCCTGCGGGGGAGGTGCCCGGCGCAGCGGAAGGTGAGAGGGGGCCTGCCGCCCCCGGCCAGCACATGCCCTCGGCCCCTCAGCCACCCAGGCTTTTCAACAGGAAGAGATTTGCCCCCCCGAAGCCCAAAGGAGAACCCGCCGCCACCAACAGCGAGCCCGATTCTTCCCCGAGTCGAGCTCCTGAACCCAGAGCCCAGGGCTCAGGAAAGGCTCCGCCTCAGGTTTCTGCCCAGGTGCCTACACCCCCTTCCCGGCGGAAACACGGCACACGGGACAGCCCCCTGCAAGCAGGCCATGGGACCCCGGGAGAGGTAAGTGTGGGTGCTGGGTGCCTGGGGGTCGCTCCGGGAGGCTGACTTCATGGAAACTCTTGCTGCAGCAGCCGGGCAGCCAGCGAGCAGTGGGGTATTTATAGCAGGGGTGGGGTGGGAGGGAGCGCCAGCCTGGAGCAGGGACCACAGCCGTGGCGCTCGCCCAGCCAGTCTCCCGACGCCAGGCGTGTGGGCAGCACAGTCGCACCGTGACCCTCTCCCCTGACCGTGTGGCAGGTCACAGCCAAGGGCCCGCGCCCCGGAGGGAGGTGGAGGAGGACAGTGTCATTTGCGGGAGGAAAAGCACGTGGACAGTTTTCTGGGAGCTTTGCCGAGGGCCACCGTGTCGTGGGGAAGGCAGGAGCAGCAGTGTGCTGCGGTGTGCTGAAGGGCTTATTAGAAGATTTAAAAACCATCAGACGCCCAGGAAATTCCAGTTGCACGGGGGCGTGTCCTGAGAGTTTGGAGCCAGGTGTGCCCATGTGCATGTCTGACTGCCCCTAACATCATCCTGTGACCTTGGGCAGCTCATACATACATCGGAGAAATAGTAACAGCCGCCTCACAGAGCCGTGGGGAGAAGCCGGGTGCGGGGCACAGGCTGTGGCGGAGGCCAGAGGCGGGCTGTTGTGGCTCAGAACAGGGGTGTCATCCTTCCCGGGGGTCAGGTAGCCAACAGGGGAAAGGTAATGCTTTGTGTGCAGACGGTTTGGGGGTCTCCCCTCTTCCAAGGAGGAGGCAGGTGGGTGCCGGCCTAAAGGAGTTTGATGAGGGTGGACGGAGAAGGTGGACAGAAGGGAAGGAGTGTGCCCCGCTGAGTCACCGTCCCAGGGTTCAGGGGGCAGAGGGCAGGTGGGCAGAAAGAAGACAGTAGTATTTTTTTAGGACGGGCAGAAATGAAGTGTTTCAAGAGTGGAGGTGGGGTGGGTAAGAGAGATGAGACATGCTGATACTGAGAAATTATTGGTAGGACATACTGATTACTGAGAAATTTCAGAAACTATCTGAAATTCAGATGTAACCAGGGGTCCTATATTTCTTTTTTTTTTTTAAATATTTTATTATTTATTTATCTTTACAGAGGGGGAAGAGAGAGGGAGAAACATCAATTCCTTCCCCCCAGCCCATATTTCTTTTTGCTAAATCTGGCAGTCCTGAGTGGAGACAGCACTTGGGCGGGAACTAAGCAAAGACTGTTTCTTGGAGGGGGCAGGAGCCGGGGCCCCAGGAAACAAGAGGAGCCCCTGAAATCCATGCCTCACAGGGGTCAGGCAGAGGACAGAGGGCTTCCTGGAACTGTGAGGGGCTCACGTGAGGGACAGCCGGTTCCAGCACCTTGTGGAGGGCAATCGACAACAGCGAGGGGCCGCCTTTCCCACGGAGAGAGGTTCCCTGGGGACTGAGGGAGGGAGCAGTTTCTGGGGTGAGCAGGGGGGAAGCCAAGGTCAGTCTGTGCGGACAGTCGTTCAGAGGGCTTTCGAGGGGGTGAACCTCCAACCAGGGTCTCTGAGTCTCGAGACTTCAGCGGATGGCATGAGCTCTGGTGGCCCAATGGAGCCGCTGTGTGGCCCCAACAGCCTGCGGGCTGGGCAGCGGGGCCCCTGGGGACCTTCTGTCCGGAATGACCAGGCTGGCAGTCAGGTGCAAGCGTGCAGCTGGCTTCCTGTTCTGCAGGGGTGCGGCCCACCCCAGCAGCATCCTGGCAGGGTCCCCCTTGCCTGTCAGAGGTGAGGGGAGAGGGCACCGGCAGTGCCGGCCTGGGAGAGGCTGCCTGCAGTGGTTCTGCTGTTCCTAAAAAAGGGTGTGTGGCTTTTAACAAATTTCCTTACACTTAAATACATGTGAAGTACACGTGTGAAAAAAAATGTATGTCACATCTATGTATATTTTGAAGCTGTAGGTTTTTGGTAGCTGAATTTGACTGGTTTTTCATATTCTCATAGTAACAAATCATTTTCTAAAATTTAAAAAATTATTAAAAAGCTTTTCATTCCATTACCATTTATCCCTCTTATTATAAGCCTCTCCCTCCCACTATCGCTATCCTGTTGTCCATGCCTGAGTCCTTTAATTCCTTTTTGCTCAATCCCTCCACCCTCTAATCATCCCCACCCCCACCCAAGCCATCAGCCTGCTCACCTTCTACAAGTCTGTGGTTGTATTGTGCCTGTTAGTTCGATTTGTTCATTAGATTCCACCTGTGAGTGAAATCATATGGTTTTATCTTTCTCTGACTGGCTTATTGCACTGAGCATAATGCTCTCCAGGTTCATCCGTGCGGTTGCAAGGGGTAAAAGTTTCTTCCTTTTTCATGGCCGAGTAGTACTCCATTGTGTAAATGTCCCACAGTTGTTTTATCCGCTCATCTACCGATGGACACTCGGGCTGCTTCCGTAGCTTGGAAATGATAAATAACCCTGCAATAACCACATAGGCGTGCTTATGTGACCAAATCTTTTTAAAAAATACCTTGTTTTTGGATTATGAAGAAAACACATGGCCATAAGAGAAAGTAAGGGGGTAAAGCCCTAAAAATTCAAAGGAGAAAATAAAAATTCACCTGTAATTTCAACATATAGAAGAGACATCTTGGTCTGCCTAGCAGTCGTTTTACATATGTAATCTTATCAGCTTTTTAAATTAATTTGTGCTGTTGTTCTGGCTCAGTTTCATATCCTGCTTTCTCTTCTTCTCATCCGTTCATGAGCATGTTGTCATGGTTCCTAAAAATGATCGGAAACACTTTATTTTTAATGGTTTTATGCGGCCACAGTAGGCACATTTTAACCATTTCCTCCATCTTATATTTAGGCTTTCCTTCCCTATTCTAAGGTTAAATATCAACCCACACTTTAAAGTAGTTTTTATTGTTTGAGTCGCTGCATTTGACTTTTAAATCAACCTGGAATTGATCTTCGTGTGCAGTAAAGGTGCTGAGGTGACTTAGACCAGCTCCGAGAACTCACAGGGAACACAGACAGACGGGGTGGCGAATTAAACCACCGCAGAAGCCCACAGAGAACCAACTAGGCCTGCCCAGGCTGGAGTAATTTTATCTCTAAGGGATACACAACATCCTAGCTCCCATCAGCACACAGTTCAGGCCCGGGCTCACACACACGCCCGGCAGTTATTGATTATAGGAGCACAGGAAGCGTTCACTCACACACCACGCAGTGCTGAGCGCCAGCTCCCACCCTGGGCCTGTGCCGGGCCGCTCTGCACAGGCAAAGGGTCCGCAGGTCAGCAGGCCACGGGTAACTATGTGGAACAAACAACCGCCACCCGGAATGAGTGCGTGGAGTGGGAAGCCACCCATGTTTCGGGGGGTGGAGGGGTGAGCTCAGTCTTCATAGAAGGAAAGAAACTTGGGGGAGGTCTTCAGGGAAGTGCGGGAGACCTCCAGTTGGGCAAGGAGAAGAGTGGGAATGTCCGGTAGGAGAAAAGCAAAGTGGCTGTAAAATAGCCCAGCAGTTGGTGCCGTGAGTGGGTGTTGGGGGGAGGGGCCTGAGAGGTGAACCTGGAGAGACAGACCTGGGACCTCGCTGAAGGACAAGCCTTGATGATTATCGAAGGGTTTGCTCATTTATTTCCACTTTTAACTGGATTTCACGGAGTAGGTGTCATAGGCCTGTGGTATAAAACTCTGAAAGTATGGAAGATGTTAGAGAATATTAAATCTCCCCTCCTTTCCTTACCCATCACCCAGTTCTTCTTCCTGAAGCCACTGGTGTCTCAGACATCTTTCCAGAGCTGTTTTCTGCATACTTACAAATATGTTATATTTTTGTGTATCTTTCTACATAAAAGTGGCACAGGATACTTTCTATCTCGTGCCTTGCTTTCTTATTTGTTTGTTTATTTAGTTCATTTATCCATTTGGCATAGGATTGTACCACAATTTATTGGATCGGTCCTGTGTTGATGGAATTTAGGTAACTCCTAGTCTTCTGCTATTGCAAACCGCGCTGTAGCGAATGCCCTTGGACCTAAGCCGAGGTGCCCGTGAAAGTGTATCTAGGATACGTGCCTGGGGAGGGCGCTATTGGCCAAAGAGCAGAGATCTTTCTGTTTCACTGTTTCCGATGAAGCCAAACCGCCGTGCTCAGAGGCTGTGTCCGTGGCTGTGCCGTGTCCCCCAGCCGGGCCCACGGAGAGTGTTCTGAAACTTCCTGCTCTGTCAGGCGAGGGCTTTTTCCTGCTTCATCCTGGAAGCGCTGATGAGCCAACCAGGCGGTTGTTTAGCAGGGAAGTGTCAGCATCAGATTTAAGTTTTGGAAAGATCACTTGTGCATTGAGCAGAGGTGATGAGTTAGAGCCCTGGATACCAATTAGAAGGCTTTGCAGGAGTCCAGGCAAGAAAGGATGGCCAGCAGCAGATCAGGTTGCTGGCAGTGGAGACGGAGAGGCAGTGGGCGCTGGGATGCGGAGGACGTGGGCGTGGCGGCGCTCAGGGGTGGGTCGGCTGGGGGGAGGGGGGAGGATGGCCGCACCCAAACACTCTGCTTTCCTGCGCCTTCTGTGCACGGTCAGAATTTCCTTGTAGACTTATAGATTGCGCGTCTGTGTTAATATTTCCTAATCCCAGACAGGTTCTAATATATTACTAAATGCTGTTTGTTGGCTCCAAGGCCTTTTTGTCTGTTCGTATCTCACTGGTTGTAAGAGAAGCTGGAGAAACATTTTTATTAAAATTCTTTGGTCAGTTGGACTTATATTTGGTGGCTCCTGATATTCTGCAAACTCATCTATTTTTCCCTCCTCGTCCCCTTCATTCACAGTTCCATATTCAGTGAACTAACTTTAAATCCCCTAATTAATTTAAATATGTTTGAATTATATGTTTTTAGAAGTCATTATTATGCAGTCGGTTCGCTTTGGTTTTGCGTGTGGTTCTTCGGATACTTAGACGTATTTGTGTATAGCCATTTATGATTTAAACTTCGTGGGATATTCGATTGCCTGCCCATCCGGTGTCTTTTCATGCTACGAATGAGCACCTGTGTTCTGCCCATTCCCACCCAGCCCTCCAGGAACCTGCAGCTTTTGCAGGCAGGGTCTGGGGCTGAGTCCTTTCTCTTGCAGCAACTGTTTTGCTGGCCCGTTGTCTGAGGCCTGCTGAGGAGTTTCACTGCTCGTCTCCCCAGAGCAGCTTGTGTTCCAGCCAAGCCCCTGGGGCCGCGTGTGCCTGCTTTCGGCAGCCCTGACCCATTTTTTTTAAGGCTGGGAGTTTTATTTGCCTCTAGTTCCAGTAGGAGTGGAGTTTGCTTTTTTTCTTGTTTACTTTGCTGGTTCTGATTACATTTAGGAAGAAAGAGGCAAATGACTGTCTCGTTCCGCTATGTTTGGATAGGACGTCCTTTAATTGTAATTTAAGTGGGTGGCATCACAGCAGAACAGCAGAGAGCTTGGCATTTGGAGCTGGACGTGCCTGGCTTCTAAACAAAACCCCGCCACTCACCATGTGAGAGCAGACGCATCAGGCTGCTCCTCTCACGACTTTAATCTCTGAGATGGAGATGTTCTCACACCTATTTCACCTTGTTGTAAAGAGTGAGGTGATGTATCTCTCCATCCTCACGTCACCCATAGTCCTCACCAGGGCAGTGGGTGCCACGAGACCGGGGCAGGTCAGTTGCTCAGGAGCTTTGGGGAGATGCCACTCTTCTCATGTGGCTGGGGTGTGGGGCGGGATAGCACAGGAGCAGGGTCTCTGAGGAACGGCAGGCTTTCTCCAGGGAGAGGGGAGGAGGGCAGGACTGGACCTAGTTGCTGGGTTCTCCCTGGTCTAGATGCTGGGGTCGGGGGTCGGGGTGGGCAGCTTTGGCACCTTGCCACGTGTCCTTTGCCTCCTGAACCCCTGCCAGGCCCAGATGCCAGGTGGCAGGACTCCCGTCCAGCCCGTTCTGGATGGAGTCAGAGGAGGCTGGGATGCCAGACTGGAGACAGATGAGGCACACGAGTTAAGTTCTCACTTTCGCCCACACGTTCTCAGGTCCTGGAGTCCCAGGTGGCCGTGGCCCCTATCGTATTGGCTGACGGCAGCACCCCCAGAAGTCAGGGCGTCATTGAGGCCATGGATACAGACCCCCAGGAGAGTAGAACGCATGCTGACTGGAGACAGGGAGGCAGGAAGAGCACAGAGGTGGACGGGAAGATGCAGGTGGATGAGAGGACACGGGGAGGCGGAACAGAAGCAGCCACGAGGACACAGGCAGACAGGAAGACACAGATGGACACTGTGACCCAGAAAAGCCAGGGAGAAGAGCCGGGCAGGGGTGCCCAGGAGGGTGCGCTAGTGCAGGGAAGGCGGATGGAGAGGACGCAAGAAGAAGGGAAGACCCAGGCAGGTGAGAAGACCCAGGAAAAGAGAAGGACGCAGGAGGACCAGGGGACGCAGGCACAGGGGAGCGTCCCTACAGCCGCCCAGGTTCCGCCAGAGAGGAGGTCCGGGAGCAGCCTCAGCCCACAGCCCCGGGCCCCTGAGCCCTCATCTTCAGAGGGTCCCGGGTCTCCTCAGATGATGGAGTGTTTCGAGCAGACCCCAGAAGGGTCCTCTGTCCTGGGGAAACCCAGTTTCGTGCTCAGGTCTGAGGAGACAGCAGTCACAGCCTCTGGTGACCAAGAGCAAACTCTGCTGCGTCCCCCGTCAGGGCGCCCCATGCTGCCGTCACAGCTGCTTCCTGAGCGTAGCGTGGAGCAGACAGGAGGGGAGAGATGCTGGGCACCGGAGTGGTCAGGCCCAGTCAAGGGCGCGCCGGCAGTGAGCCCGCCCCAGGGCCTTGCGCAGGGGCGGCCCGGGGAGGGGCTGGGCAGATGTCCTCCCACTGGCCTGAGTCCTCAGGTGCCCACTCTGCCTTCTCCTGGGACTGGCCTGATGGATAGCCCACCTCAGGGGCTGCCCGGCACCCCCAATTCCCAACACACAGGTGCAGCTGCCTTCTTGCCCTCTGGGGACCCGGCCTCGCTCAGCTCTGCTCCCACACTGCACCCGGGGCCGGGGACCCCCACCCAGAGCCACCCACTTGAACCCACAGCAGCCGGCAATGAGGGGGCTTGCGCCAAGATGCCAGATGAGGAAGGGGCGCCCTCAGGCCCCCGGAGCTGTGACCCTGGCCTCATAGATTCCCTGAAGAACTACTTGCTCCTGCTGCTGAAGCTATCCAGTACAGGGATGAGTGGAGGGGGCCCAGAGTCTGGGGGGGCACCTGCACCCAGGGGTCTGGAACCCTCACCCACGCTGGCCCCCACCGTGGGAGTGGCCGGTCTGAGCCCACGGACGTCACGGCGCATCCTGGAGCATGTGGAGAATGACCATCTGGTGCAGAGCGCACAGAACCTGCTGCTCAGCCCCTGCACCACCCGCCGCATCACCGGCCTCCTGGACCGGGAGGTGGAGGCTGGCCAGCAGGCCCTGGCTGCTGCTCGGAGCCGTGGTCCCAGCCCCCTCAATGTCCCCACCATAGTGGTGGGTGAGGAGGAGGGCCCTGGGGGTGGGCCGACCTCAGAAGCATCCAGGAAGGGCGAGAGAGAGGTTCCTCCTGAGGGGCCCGGCCTCCCGGGAACCCCCCAGGAGAGAAGCATGGGGGGTCTGCCGGGAGAGGCAGGTGGGCAGGCAGCCTCTGGCCAGGGACCCTGCTGGGAGGAGGGGTGCCCACAGGAGCCACCAGGGCTCCCCGCAGCCACCCCCGAGGAGCTGGCTCTGGGCGCCCGGAGGAAGAGATTCCTCCCTAAGGTCAGAGCAGGAGGGGACGGGGAAGCAACCAAGCCTGAGGAAAGGGAGAGCCCCACGGTTTCTCCTCGAGGGCCCAGGAAGGGCCTTTCGCCGGGTTCCCCTGGGACGCCAGGGCGGGAGAAACGCTCTCCCACCCAGGGCCGAAAGGCAGGCCTGCTGGAGGTGCCGCGGGCAGAGGAGGAGCAGGCAGCCGGGGACCCGGGCCCCAGCCCCAAGGCCAGCGGGCCGGATGCAGAGCTGGGCGTGGACGAAGGCAAGCAGGAAGCCGCCGACGACAAGTCGAGGAAAGCCAAAGACCTGCTAAAAGGTGAGCAGTGATGGGGGCAGGGGTACGGCTTCCCAGAGAGGGCCGGGCAGCAGACGATGCTCCTGCCCTGGTCATTTGGGGTGGTGTGGGTCCACTAGGGGTCTGCTGAGAGCCCTGTGAGCTGTTCGCATGTCACGACCCCCCCACGCGTAGGAATCCGGAGGGCCTGCCTCTCTCGGAGTTGGTAATGGAGCCAACTTTGTGACATTGCGAGGGCTAAATAAGATGGACTAAAGCAAGTGCTTAGCACCGGAACTGGCTTCAACAGAGTCCCACCACCTTTGTCGTCATCACCACCACAAGCCTGTCTCTGCAAGCAGAGTGGTGGGGACAGGGCTCGAATGCAGGATCCTGCTGTCGGGCCTGGCTTGCAGACCGGAGTCTCTCTCCTGACCCCTGTGGTGACCTCCGCTGGCCTGGGAGGGGGTGCGGCGGTGGTGGGTTCTCCCTAGCTGGGATGCGTGCCCTGGGGGGTCAGGGCAGATGCACCAGAGATGCAGATGGGGCCCAGTGGGGGGCCGAGAAGGATTTGTGTGGAGACATGAGTCCCATTGGCCCTCAGCCTGTCCCCCCAGGGTCACCCAGGGAAGCATGGGTCAGGCCAGAGAGGGCGAAGATGGAACAGAAGGACTCAGTCCTCTCACCTGGGCCCCTGCTCCCAGCCCCACAGGTGATTCGCAAGATTCGGGTGGAGCAGTTTCCTGATGCCTCGGGCAGCCTGAAGCTCTGGTGCCAGTTTTTCAACATTCTCAGCGACTCGGTTCTGACGTGGGCCAAGGACCAGCGCCCAGTAGGCGAGGTGGCCAGGAGGTAAGCTGTCAGAAGGCAGGCTGCCTCCCCGGACCTGGCCCCTTGTTTCCACAATCGTAGTGTTGGGCACTGTCCCTCCCCCAAAGTCACACAGCTAGTGAGTGTCAGGACTGCAAACCAGACCCGTGTGGCCCGCCCCCTGCCCAGGGCTCCCAACAGCCTCTGTGAGCCGGCTCTGACTGGCCTGGAGCCCTCATTCTGGCCCCGGCCATGCCGAGACGTTGGCCCTCACGGGAAGGGTCTCCGTTCTCTGCAGCGCAGGGGACGAGGGCCCGGCAGCCCTGGCCATCGTGCAGGCCTCCCCGGTGGACTGCGGGGTGTACCGCTGCACCATCCAGAATGAGCACGGCTCGGCCTCCACGGACTTCTGCCTGAGCCCCGAGGGTGAGTGTGCCCGGCCGCTGCCCGGCCTCCCTCCTGAAGGAGGGCAGCGGTCACTGGCAGAAATGGTCCTCACTCTGGGCGGACCACCGGAGGCAGCTGCTTTCTTTTTTCTCTCCATGCAGTGTTGTCAGGATTCATATCCAGAGAAGAAGGTGAAGGTATGGAGCCCCTTGGGCGAGGAGTGAGTGGCCTTCGTCCCTGTCCAGCCATCTGCTGAGGGACCTTCTGCAAGGACTTGGAATCCATCCCAAATGCCACGTGCAGCTCCCCAGACGGCTGCCTTTGCCTCCCAGTTCAGGATGCCGTTTCAGAGGGCGGCCCGTTCCTAAAGCAGTCCATTCAGCCTTGTGCCCTTTGCTGTGCCCGAGTGCTTGACCAAGGGCAGGACGGGCCTCCAGGAGGCATCTTCCCCTGCCAGCTCCCCGCCAGCGTTCCTCGCAGTGCCCTGCGTGTTGGGTTCCCACGGGGAGGCTGCTGAAAATGCGGTTTCTGAGGCCCCCTACTGCGGATCCCCACACTCACCGTCTCTGGGGAAGGACCTAGGAAAAGTGCATTCCTGGTGGGCTCCCTGGTGACGGTGATGCACCCCATCGTTCAGTGACCGGTTTCAAGGTCCAAACATCCGAGGAAGAGTATGTGTCGCTCCTGCCAGAGAGGTGCTCAGGGTTAGGGCTGCCACGGCGGTGGGTTGTGAAAGAGTTCCATTGGCCACCTGACGCACTTGCTCCTCCCCCACACGCTCGCTCCGCCCCCACACTCTTGCTCCGCCCCCACGCGCTCGCTCCTCCCTTCACGCACTTGCCCCTCCCTCCACGCACTCATTTAATCACTCATCATTTCACCGATCCCCTCTGCTGAGTTAGCAAATCGAATTCCATCAACATCAAATCTAACCTCGTACCTAAAAACTCAGTGTAGGCGAACCTTCCTTGATTGCACTTCAAAGATGTCGCCTAATTTTTTACCACTTGAAGGCTGGAGTCTCCACCAGCGCAAAGGAGGTTGCGACCCCTGCTTTGTGCGGTACTCGCTTTGTTGTGGCGGTCTGGAACCGCGCCCACAGCCTCTCTGAAGTGTACCTGTAATCATTCCTTAATATTGTTAGCTATCCAACCCGATTTTCCTGGTGGTCTCATGAGCTTTGGTGCCTTGAATTAGAAACCACTCATTGCCTTGGGCCGCCGAGTCTCACGCGTCTCTCTGATGTGTGAGTTTTTCTACCTTCCTCTGTTTTTCCTCCTTGCCGTTTAGTTGTTGAAGTCACGTGCCGGGTAGAATTTCTTGCTTTCTAGACTGTGTGGACGATGTAACCGTTCAGCATGTTCCTCCATCCACGTGTTCCCCACAAACTGGCATTCGACCCAGAGGCTCTGGACTCGGCCGCACACTTTGGGCAAGGCCGCTGCTCGCGTGTGCAATGTCTTTTCTTTCCCGTCCTCTCTGGAGTCATGTAACATCCGATCGTTTTACTTTTAATGATGTTAATATTGATCACCGGGTCCCTTCAGATGTTTTTTGTCTGATCCATCCCATTTAAAAGTTAAAAAAAAAAAAAAAGGCCCTGGCTGGTGTAGCTCAGTGGACTGGGCCGCAGGCCTGCGAAGCAAAGAATTGCGGTTTGATTCCTAGCCAGGGCACATGCCTGGGTTACAGGCCAGTTCCCAGCAGGGGGCGCAGGAGAGGCAACCATACATTGATATTCTCTCCCTTTTTCCCTTCCCCTCTAAAGATAAGTAAGTAAAATATTTAAAAGAAAAACAACTGTATCTGATATACCCATGTTGTCACTAGGGGTTTTAACCATCACTGATTATTGTCTAAATCCATTAATTCATTAGTGTTCGCAACATGGAGTATTTTTTTTTAATTTTATTTATTTATTTTAGACAGAGGGGAAGGGAGGGAAAAGAAGGGAGAGAAACATCAACGTGCGGTTGCCTCTCATGGCGCCCCCTACTGGGGACCTGACCTGGCCTGCAACCCAGGCATGTGCCCTGACTGGAAATCGAACTGGCCACTCTTTGGTTCGCAGGTGGGTGCTCAATCCACTGAGCCAAACCAGCCAGGGTGGATGGAGTATTTTAATTGTATCTTTTTTTCTTCATTCATTCACTGAATTCCTTCTGCAAAGGAGCAATGGTGGTTGGGTTACTCTGAGTTGGTGCCCTAGGTCACCACAGAGGTCTGGGTTTTTTGCAGGGGTGAGGGGGTTATGAACATAGGGATTTTTGATATGTTTGATATGTGTCATACATTGCAAACATATTTTTTTTGTTGGTGATGTTGTCTGATCTCACCCAGTGGGAGCCCCATCGGAAGGTTGGGACCTGTGTCCTAGGGACCAACCTCCACTCAGTTTCAACAGCTCCTTTCCCTTCTGGTCTGACCAGATGTCTCAGGTCCATCCCGCGGGCTTCCTGCCTGAGACCTGGAATCAGCCGTTTCTTCGGGGAGTGCTGGTTCCTTGTAGTGGGAAACAGTATTTAGCAGTCACCATCGGAGCACTGGAGGGCTCCCTGCTACGGGATTGGCCCTGCACGCTTTTTGTGTGAGTCAGACATGTTGGTCGACATGGAGTCATTTATTCATCTGATCGAAACAGCAGATTCTAAAACAAACTAATTCTGGTATTCTGCCCTGACTGTCGCCCCACCACGGAAACCCTGCCGTCCCTCCGCAGGCGCTGACCACGCTCTCTCTCTGTGAGGGGTGCTCTAGAGCACTGACACATGATGAGCATGTGTCAGATGTGGTGTCCGCCCTCGGGACCTCACACTCTGCTAGGGGGCCCGCACTGGGTACCAGAGAGCAGTAATGGACGGATTGAGCGCACCAGGGTGGCGGGGGCGGCCGCCCCAGCCTCTTCCTGCCCCGTGCGCCCCCGTCAGGGCGGCGGGTTCCCCATTGTGTCTCCTTTCCCTTCAGTTGGAGAAGAGATTGAGATGACTCCTATGGTGTTTGCCAAGGGTCTGGCTGACTCTGGCTGCTGGGGGGACAAGCTCTTTGGGCGCCTGGTGAGCGAGGAGCTACGAGGCGAAGGACACGGGCACGGCCTTCGGAAGGCCTCCCAGGCCAAGGTCATCTACGGGCTGGAGCCCATCTTCGAGTCAGGCCGCACGTGCGTCATCAAGGTGTCCAGCCTGCTGGTGTTTGGGCCCAGCAGTGAGACGGCCCTCCTGGGCAGGAACTACGACGTCACCATCCAGGTACTGCGTCCCGCCCCCGTTCCCATCCTTGCGCTCTGGCACCTTCTCCCCCTTCCCAGCCCAGGTCCTGTTGGGAAGTCAGTACAGAAGCAGAAGCCATCGGCCTTGACCTTGTTGAGGATCCTGGGTGGTCCTTGAGGGCAATCTGAGGTGTAGCCCCTCAAACGTATCTCACACAGAAGCCTTCTGGTTGAGATGAGGGGAGTGCATGTGGGTGAGCTGCTCTGTGCCCCAACGTCAGCGGCCCCCTTGCTGCCCACAGTGTGGCCCTGGGCACTGGCACTTACCCCAGGGTTCCCTGCAGGCCTCTGGCACAGAGCCTGTCCCTCTAAGCTGGGCCGGGGAGAGGACAGTGGGCTTTCTCAGTGATCAGGGTGGGTTCTCTGTAATCCACAGGGTTGCAAGATCCAGAACATGAGCCGGGAGTACTGCAAAATCTTTGCTGCTGAAGCCCGGGCGGTGCCTGGCTTTGGGGAGGTGCCTGAGTAAGTGCGTAGGGCCGAGCTGTGATTCCACAGCTCCTCAGTCATGGCCAATTGCAGCAGGGCCTGAAGCTCACCTGTGCTCAGCTTGATGGTCCTGCAAAATCCAAAAGCAAAGAAAGACCCCGGATTCTCTGCCTGCTTCAGGAAGGCCTGTGCTGTGGTCTTTCGTCTCCCCTCACCCATCTCAGATCCCCGCGCCTTGGCCCCGTCTCTGCTCACGGCAGAGTGCGGGCCAGCAGGTTCTGGGCCCTCTGGAGGTGGCGGGCTGGGCTCGGCCCCTTGGCACTCTGCTCGGGACCCCCGCTGTGGTGTCAGCTGCGGTCAGCGTGGGGTCTGCAGTAGTCGGCACTAAGTGGGAACTATTTCCACTGTGACACCACTGAGCCATGGTCTGGCTGAATCCTCTCTGGAGGATTCCTTTCTGCCCCTCCCCCACGCTCGGAGGCCTCCTGGGGCCCTAGGGCGGTTCAGGTCTACCCCCCGACCTCGGAATGGACAGGACCCTGAAGCCACTGGCCTCCATTTCCTTTCCTGATCTCCCCGTCCCTGGCTGTCCTTTGGTCCCAGAGCTGGGGATTCTTTCTGAGAAGGGCCCTCCTGTTAGATCCCGGACGATAGAATCGAGACGGAGGGGGAGCCCCCTGCCACCCCACCTCCTGCTCACTGCAGGGTGGCCCTGTGTGTAGGATCATCCCGCTGTACCTGATCTACCGGCCTGCGAACGCCATCCCGTACGCCACGCTGGAGGAGGACCTGGGCAGGCCTCTGCAGCCCTACTGTTCCCGGGACTGGGGCTCTGCCACGGCGCCAGCACCGGGCAGATTGGAGGCCGTGCAGAAATGCCAGGCCTTCCAGCACTGGCTGTATCTGTGGACGAACGGCAGCTTCCTGGTCACAGATCTGGCAGGTAGGAGGGTGTGTGTGCCTGTGTATACATGTATGTGTGTGTGTGTGTGAGGACAGGCGCAGGGCAGAGGACAGGGCTCGTGTGCGAGTCTGTAGCTTGCTTTCGTGTCTTCTCACCTTATCTGTTCACAATAACCTTGTGGAGTGGACCGGACAGGCGCCGTTGTGGGTGCAGCCCTAGCACTTGCCAGGGCCTCCTGTGGCTCTGGTTGGGAACGGCAGGCGCACTGAAAGGCACCCAGGCCAAGCTCCACGTGGCTTCTCTCAGTGCTGCTCTCTGCATGCAGAAGCCAGTCTCCCCCAGGGTTATGTTTCTGCTGGTGCTGCCCTAACTTCCCTCCCTTTTCCACCTCCTCCCTCTGGCCCGAACAGACGCATTTGTTTAGAGGAAGGAGAAAGCTTTAGCTCATTCCCAGAGGCCAGCCCAGCCCGTGACCCGGTCTGACCCCGTAGGGGCCGGCTTGCACGGCTGGAGGAGTTCTGGATTTAGGAGTGAGAAAAGTTGAACTTCTACTTTGATACATAGTGGCTGGTGCTCCATTACTGAATGAATGAGTAAATGTGACTTTGCTCGAGTCACTGAGCTCCGAGCCCAGCTCCTGACCTGTAAGAGCGGGACTGCTACTACTGCTATTAATACAAAAGCACCCACGCTGCCCAGGAGACAGGGGAGGGAGGCCCTGAAGGTGCGCCCTGAAACCCGGCAACTTTCCGCCCAAAGGGAAACCCATCTTGGAGACACAGGGGCCCTAGGACCAGCCCAGGCTGCCATCAGCTCAGCTCCCAACTTTCTGTCCTTTCAGGGGTTGAGTGGAAGATGACCGATGTGCAGATTGCCACCAAGCTGCGAGGGTGAGTGCCTGCAGGGACAGGGTGCCTTCTGAGAGTCTTCCCAGGGTGTAACATGTCCAAGTTCTCCTGGCTCTTCGTCCTGGAGCTTCTGGGCCTCGACCAGGTGGCCCCAGTTGTACCCGCGGGGCTGCACCCCTGCCCCATACCTGGGCCAGCAGCTGTTGGTGCCCACACACAGGGTCACCTGCCGTTCTGGGCTCCGACTGTACCCGCCCCCCTTCCTTCCCACTCACAATGCAGATGAGCATGGGCGCCGTGAGCAGAGCGATGCCCTGAGTTCTGCTCTAATTTATATTGAAAAGGCAGATTGTCCTCACGCCAATTTTACTGCCCTTCACGATGAATTCCCTGTGCCAGGGCGTAATGAGACCTCAGTGTAGAACTGAGGCTTCAGAGCCCGCGGCCTCAGGTGGCACCGGAAAGATCCCCAGCACTCTGTGCCATGGCCACGACACCCTGGCCATGGCCGTCCCACAGTCGGCCCCCCAGGACCCTCAGTTTGGGTCAGACTCCCACTCAGCTTCCCCTGTTTGGCTGCAGATACCAAGGCCTGAAGGAGAGCTGCTTCCCCGCCCTGCTGGACCAGTTCGCCTCCTCCCACCAGTGCAGCGCCTTCTGTGAGATGCTGGGGCTGCAGCCCCTCAAGGGCCCTGAGGCTGCCCACTCCCAAGCCAAGGCCAAAGGCTCCAAGAGTCCATCTGCTGGTAGGAGGGGCTCCCAACTGAGTCCTCAGCCCCAGAAGAAAGGCCTCCCCAGTCCCCAGGGCACCCGGAAGAGTGCCCCGAGCTCCAAGGCCACTCCTCAGGCCTCAGGGACAGTCGCCACCCAGTTACTGGGACAGCCTCCCGCCCAAGAGGGGAGCTCGAAGGCCCAGGGCACGCGGTAGCCCCTGCGAGAGGCTGGGGGCCTTCGCCCAGCAGCAGACCAAGAAGGAAGCAGCTCGAACTGACGGAGACGTTGCCAATGCAGACCAACCGGGAAGGCGCGCTGAGCGGGCAGCCCCGGGGGCCTCTCGGTGCAGCCTCTCCTCAGTCGGGTTCTCACCAGGTGGCTCTGGTGCATGGCACACAGCCCGGTGGCCTCTTCTGGTGCCATGTCACCCAGGGCTCCCAGGCCCCACTCCCAGTGCCCCAGGGGCCGAGGCCCTCCTTGAAGTTTACACTGGCCACTGCTGGAGGCTCCCCGCGTGCTCTGCATGAGTTTGGCGCCCCCACCCCTTGCTCCAGCCAGACCCTGCTATGAACGGCGCCCCCTGGGGTGTGGAGGCCAGCACTCACCCCCTGCCTTTGCTCCATCCCCGATCTCTCCCTGACCTCAGGGCTGGGGGCTTCCTCTGCTGTGTGACTCTCAGGGTGTCTCCTCGGGCTACTTTGCCTCATTCGTCCCAGCTTAGCCTGCCACTAACCTGCCCCTGAGCCCCACTCGGGGCCTGTTCTGTCCTTGTGCAGTGGTCTTTGGTGACACGGGTTCTCGCTTTTCCTTCCCTCATCTCTCAGGCCCTCACTTGCCTGCTTCTTATGCCGTCTTGCACCCCATCCCCCACCCCTAGCTTGGAACCCAGTTGCAGCCTGCTGCCTGCCCTTTACGACTCAGCTTGTCTCCTTGCCCGGTCCACCACCCGACCCCTCAGGACCCAGGTGAAGAGCAGACCCCCGTCCACTCCTTCCCTACTTCTCCACGCCCTCCTCCCCTGACGTGAGAAGTGGTATAAGGGTGGTCGGCAGCTGGGGCCAGAGGGAGAGTGGGAACCTCAAGGGACTGTGTGTTCTCCACACTGACGGAGGCGGCTCGTGTGAAGTTCACATCTCCTCCTGGCTGGGGTGGAGGTCCGGGAGTTTGGGAAGCATGACAGCCATCTGTCCACTGCGGTGGAGGGCGGCCTCTGCTCCTGGGACTCAGGACCCCTGTCCCCATGCAATAACTCTCCATCCCGAATCTCCAGCTCCAGGACCTAGTACGTGAGCTCCCAAGGAATCGCTGTACTTGGCCCAGGACCCTGTGCCCTTCCTGGGAGCCCCTCTTGCAGGCCCTGGATATGGGGAGGGGGGTCTAGAGCCAGCCTGCACCCCTTGAAATTCAATAAAGGCAGCAACTGTGTTTCCTGCTCGCCCTGGTCTGGCGTGGTTGTAGGTGTGCGAGCTGCCTGGTGTTCACCCCGCCCTGTTGACATTTCTAACCTCTCTCTCCTCATGACTTTTCCCACCTCATCCTCTTGCCCTCGTGTGCCCCACCCTCCCAGCCTGCCTGTGCAGGTTGGCTCGGCAAACTGGAGCTGGGATGTGTTCTACCCGTCCATTCGCCCATCCATTCATCCATCCATCTGCCCATCCATTCATCTGTCCATCCACCCGTCCATCCACCCGTCTATCCACCCATCCATCCACTGGTCCATCCACCCATCCATCTACCCATCCATCCATCCATCTACCAATCCATCCATCCATCCACCTGTCCATCTACCTGTCCATCCACCCAGCCATTCATTCATCCATTTATCCATCCATCCACCTGTCCATTTATCCATCTATTCATCTAGCAGACGTGCAGTGAACACCTGCCTACTTTATGCCGGCCTCAGAACTGACAGCTGTTGGGGGTCAAAGATGTAGGATGTGGTCTCAAAAGAGATCCTTCTTCTATCACAATCCCATTTTGAAACCCGTGGATTAGCTGGTAAAAATGAACCATTTTCAACCAAAACTATATAGCCTAGCAAGAAGGTGAGCATGGGCAACGGCTACCATCCGCTTCTACACCAGGTCGTGGGAGCTACTGCTCACGATGAGGGGCTTTTGCCCGCCTGTGGGGCCCAGATCATCAGTTCTGAAATCCAGCTCCTTAGCGGCCCTCTGCTCCGTTTCCATAGCAGCAAGTACATTTCCCGGGTAGAGCTAATCATCCGAGCCACGCCCATTACCTCTTGGTGTAAGGAGCCTGCAGCGGCCAAGCGCCTCAGCTTCCAGTCGCCCGGCATCATCACTGTGACTTTTTGAAGGAGCGTTGGCTCGGGCCCTGAAACCTCTCTCCCAGCCTGGTCCTGAGCCTCGGGTTCAAGGAGAGCACTGAGAGGCAGAGATCTCAGACCCCTCTCCATGCTGCTCCTCTGCCTATAGGAGAAACAGCACCATGAGTTGTTGGCCAGTTCAGAGCTGACGCTACATCCTGTGGGCCTGGACCACCTTGCAAGGGATTGTGCCTCAGCTGGGGTCATACCTGAGTTTTTGGTTTTTTTTTTTAAGATTTTATTTATTCATCTTTAGAGGGGGCAGGGAAGGAAAGAAGAGAGGGAGAGAAACATCAGTGTATGGTTGCCTCTCGTGCATTCCCCACTGGGAACTGGCCTGCTACCCAGGCGTGTGCCCTGACTGAGAATTGAACCTCAATCCCTTGGTTTGCAGACCCGTGCTCAATCCACCGAGCTACACCAGCCAGGCCCATAGCTGAGTTTTTGACAAACCGTTGCATCGTTCTGTCAGGCTAACGGCTCCTGCACCGTGGGGGTCCTGACCAGATGAGCGACGTCCATAGGCACCAGCCTGTTAGTTAACCTGCGCTGTAAAGTGACATTTGCGCTTTTTGGTAACGTTTGCAGCCTTTCGTCATTCCATGGATATTAGTGGTGGGTCGGGCGTGACGGGTGGGGAAAGCACATCCAAATCCAGAAGGGCCCATGGTGGTCAAGGCAAATTCTTGCCCTCTTAAAGCCGCGGCTGTAGATTAAGGGGAGCTGGGCAGGAGGGCAGCAGGGGCCTTGTGGGAGAGCGAGTGGGCGGCCCACATGCATGGCTTTCCTGGGCCTTCGGAGCCCTCTTCTGGAGTGCCCGCCTGATGATGGGGGGCTGCTGGTGCGCCTCCCTGTGGCCAGTGGGTCAGATAACACAGTGCACAAGGGCCAGCGTGGCCACCTGGTGTGCCGCAGCCTCGCACTCAGGCCCTGCCAGAGCCCTGAGGCCAGCCAGAGGGCCACAACTCAAAAGGATAATAGTCTCTGGCCAGAGAGACTTGGTTCCAAACCCTGGGTTCCAAGCCCTGGGTTCCCCTGTTTCTGGTCAGTACTTGCCACAAGCTCCGTATCACACTCAGCTCTGCCACAGGCCCTGAGTGGCCCCCAGTGCGCCTTAGATGGACAGAGGCCTCGTCACCATGGACCCTGCCAGGTCCTGTGGCCCGGACGCAGAGCCATTTCTGCTAAAGGTGTTTCCAGCTGGACAGCCTTTGTTTTCTCTAGGCCCAACCCAAAGCCGGTGGACCTTCTAGGTCACTCAGTAAATGGCTTGGGGCAAGATAACCCCCGGTTGACTTTTTTTTTTTTTTTACTGGAATTGGGTAGTCATGGTAAGGGATTCAAAATGCAACAATTCGTTTTACATTATGGAGGAAATATTCTGACCTCAGCAGATGCCTTGAGCTCAGGGAACTTTATCAGGGGGTGAGCCTTTGCATTTTAATCTGATTCATCTCCTGCCTCTGACTCATAGGTGCCTCACTCAGGCATCAGGAAAACGGGTGGCCTCCGGGCCCCGTCTGCACGAGGCCATTGATGTGCCGGAACATCGTGGCGGGGAGGTCAGGGTGCCTGGGAGCCAGGTTCTGTGTGGAGGTGACACAGAGAAGCCAGGACCGCTGTGGAGGGGACATGCTTCCGATGCTCTTTGTTCATCCACGTAGAAAAAAATGAACTCACCAGGTCAAAGGATTTATGCCGAATGCAGGGAGCTGGATGCATTCGCTTTAGCCGGAAGGCCACCTCTGGAGTGGCACCTGCAGACACAGTTGCCTTTGAAGGTTCGCGTCAGTCCAGAGGCCTCTGGTGTCCTGCCCTGGCCACTCTGCGCTGTGACAGGAAGCACTACGACTGCCCTGTCATGCCTTTGGTGGTGACACTGCTGTCTGCGATTCCCCCAGGAGCGTGGTAGAGGTGGGAGGGGTGGAATTCTGATGGCCCGTACTCGTTCTGCCCTGTTAGAGTCACCCTCACCCCACAAGTCCGAGAGCCAGCGTGGGGTTCATGCCTATTTCCAAACACATTTGTTTCCCCTGTACCCTGAAAGCAGCTCCTGGTTGGCTTTGAGATTCCTGTGGGTCAACTGCAGCGTAAAATTTGGCCTGCACATCGTCCCCACTGAGCGGCAGACCACCTGCTTTCCTCAGAAACTGGGCTTGGCGTGGAGCCGGGGCCCTACGGAGGACACCCCCCTCCACACGTGCGGGCGTGTGCCCTTTGCCCCAGTTCCCAGATAAACGCCCCAGCCCACCCCTTTGGGAAAGGCTGCAAGGAAGGCTGACAGCGTGCCTCTAAGCGTTAAAACAAGGTTTCTCTTCGAAGACGCTTGACTTCCTCTCTGTGGAAGGTCTGGGAGTTAAATGGGAGAGTTTGACTCTCCCGTGGAATCCTGAGTCAGACCTGTCCACGCACCTGGGAGCCTTTAGTCACGGCAAGAACTAGGCGCCGGCTTAGGGGATGCATGGTCTCTTGCATCCCCGGGACACAGTGACTGATTCGCTGCAGCCAGAGGTCCGGGGGTGTTGTGATGACCCCCCTACTTTGTTTCTTCCCCCTGTCTCTGCTGCTGAGGTCAGAGGCTCACTTTCATGGCCACTCTCCCCACCAGCACGCCAGGCCCGGAGAAGAAAACCCTCAGAGCCTCGCTGACGTATTTCTCATGGCTGGGAGCGAGCCCACTGGGGCAGAGAGAGAGGGTGGACAGGCCGCATGCATGCCAGGACCCAGGAAAGCATTCTTGTCCCCTGAGCCTGTGAGTGCCTGCCTTTCTTGGATTTTTTGGCCTTTTGGTATAATTTAGCATGGTCAACATTTCGTTCAGATTTGTATTATTCAAGCCCTCTCCCTCCCTTACCACTGCAAAAAAAAAAAAACAGTAAGAAATGTATCTGGTGGTTTGAGCCTCCAGTTCGAATGCAAAACCTCTGGTGAATGAGCCTCTGAACACATACACCATGCACCAAAATTATCTTCTGCCACTTGAGTCAAATAGCCTTTAAAGAGTTTCCGTAAGTTTTCCCTATGTTTTCTAACAATGCATCTACTCCATACAGTCTCTGTTGAGTGTAACACTTCTGTTTCCTGCTGTGATTCGGCCTCCCTTCCCCTGGGATACGTCGAATGTGGGTTCTGGTTCCTAGCAGCTCAACAGGGTCGTGCAAGGCCGGGGTCTCAGCTCTGGGCTGAACGCAGGGAGGCCGGCCCACCCGTTCACTCAACTGACAAGAAAATGAAATTTGCATACCAGGTCCCACCACCTTGCTGATTTTTATCGAGACGTTCAGCCATCTGGGAAACCAGATACTAGCGTTTACCTGTCAAGTGAATTCGTCCCTTCTTCTCCCTGAAAGGAAAAGTCTAGGGGAAGCCAAGTTATGAGAAAGTTGGTTGGTGAGCTTAGAGCAGTTTAGACAAAGCTTGGTTCAAGTCCAGCGTTCCTGGCCCTGTGCCCCTGGGCTTGCTGCTAAACCTCTCTGAACCGAGATGCCGCAGGTTTAAAAAAATCCTTTCACTGGTAGTGACGGATCGCCTATCGTATGCGGTAATTACAAGTCCTGGGCACATGACAGTGAACGAAACAGACATACACCCCTCCCTCACGGCACTTAGTCCAGTGGGGGCGACAAACATGAGACAAACACGCCAATTAGTGTATAATGGCAGATGCAGTAGTAGGTGCTGGGAGGCAGAAGAATGGGGGAGAACACCAGCTGGGTGTGGGACCTAAATTAGGCTGGGGCGGCGGGGTTTTAGGAGCCAATCTGAGGTGTGACTTTTGAGCTGAGGACCTGAAAGCTGCTGGTCAGAGGAAGGGGAAGAGAGTACCAGGCAGGGCTCACAGTCCGAGCGAGGTTCTGAGCCAGGTCACGGGGGAGGGGGAGAAGGCCAGCTTGTGTGCGGTGTGTGCGGTGAGCGAGAGCACTGTGGCACCGCAGTAGGAGGTTCAGGGAGGACTTCTGCCCTGAGTCCTGAGAACTGCCATGCATCCGCTAGCATCTGCTGCAGCGGGAAATCGCAGAACAGCCCCGGAATGGCAGTGGTCTAGACCAAGAGAAAGTCCCTTGGTCCTCGGGAAGAGGTCCGTAGGCACTAGGAGAGCTGG